AGGAGAGGGATAGAAATGGAAGTAATAACTGGTCATGTCTACATGAGGAAGCCTCTATAAAATCGCAATAGTAGGGGATTCAGAGAGCTTCCAGGTTAGTAAACATCCATATACCAGGAATTGACACACCCCAACTCCAGAAGCTTCTGTGCTCCGGACCTTCCCAAACCTAACCCTTGTATCTCTTCACCTGACTAGTCATCTGTATCCTTGATCACATCCTTTAATAAACTGCTAAATGGTAAGCATTTCCCAGATTTCTGTGAGCCACTGTTGCAAATTAATTGAAAGCTACCATGAGACCCTCCAACTACAGCCAGTTGGTAAGAAGCACAGGTGACAACCTGAGCTTGTGATTAATGGCTGAAGTGGGGTGGGAGGGCAGTCTTATGGGACTGAGCACTTACCCTGTGAGATCTGATGCTGACTCTGAGGATAGTGCCAGAATTGATTCAAATTGTAGAACATCCACCTGATGTCACAAAGAAGTACTTGGTTTGAGAAAGCCAAAAAGCCCCTGTAGGGTCAGGAATGAGCACTTGAGCAGGTTTTCTGATCCAGCAGACCAGGTAAAGGAGTCAGAGTCCTCAGTGGCTTTTGCAGGTCTTTTATTTAGATTTACCAGGCATATGGCAGGCAGGGGTGCTGGGGGGCCGGGAGGCTGGCAGGCCCTCCCAGCCCCCAGCAAATCCTCACTCTATCTGGGCTCTCTCTGGCGTTCTCTCTGCTTTTCTTCTTCTCTCTGCTTCCGTTAGTTCTTGGCTTCTGCTGGCGTCCCCGTGATGCCACCCTTATAAACTCATTCTCTCACCCCAGGTGTACCCACTCCAGGTGCCCGCCATCAGGCATGCATTCAGGACCACAGGGTTCCCTCATCTATCCTAATGGGGGGAGGGCAGAAAAGCCTAATACTTTTTCCTTACCCTACAGCCCCCATACATTTTGTGACCAGAAGCAAAACATTCCATGTAAAAGTAAAGATGATTCACAGGTGAAGGAAAAAAACAATAGGATAGAACTAAGTTTTTTCCTCACAAGAGTTTTTTATTAGCATTCCCTTGAGGCTGATTTGATAGTACAGACAAGTTTTCATGAGCAGCTACTGAGTCGTGATGGTGGAGAAGATACGGGCATTCCACCCTCCAAAGCTCCCAGATCAACCCACATATGGCCACAGGCCTGGGTGCTGGTTTTCCTTGAATCTCTGAGAGAGCAGCATCATCTACTCTTTAGGCTCTAAAGATGCTCTCACTGATGTGAGGTAAACAACAGTGGAGAAGATAGATGAACAGGGAAGTGTCACTGCTACGTCGGGAGAAGTCCTCCCAGATGGAAGGTTTTCTTCCAGCCTCCAAGATTTCAACAGTCTGAGGAGGTGGGTGAGGAGGGAGGGAAGAGAGGCATGTTCAGAGGGCACTCCCTCCTGTTCAGAAATGCATATGTGGGGGGCTTAGTCTGGGTCTGGGAAAGCATGGGAAACAAGGCCAAAAGAAAATAAGGCAGGGAGGTGTGCATGAGCCTTGAATACCTGATTCTAGGGCAAAGAAAATGTCAGGCTTTTCTGCCCTCTCTCCATCAGGATAGATGATGGATCCTTGCGGTCCTGAATGCATGCCTGATGGCGGGCACCTGGAGTAGGGTGTGGGCCTAAGTAGATGGGATTCACCTGGGCTGAGACTGGGCTTTTAAGGTCGGCATCACGGAGATGCCAGCAGAAGCCAAGAAGCCGAGAAAGAAGCAGAGAAAGAAGCTGAAAGAGAAGCTAAGAGCAGAGAAGCAGAGAGAAGGCAGGAGAGCAAAGATAGAGTAAAGACTTGCTGGGGGCTGGGAGGCCTGCCAACCTCCCAGCCCCCCAGCGCCTCTGCCTGCCATGTACCTGGTAATCCCAATAAAAGACCTGCAAAAAGCCACTGAGGACTCTGATTCCTCCTTTACCCGGTCTGCTGGATCCTAGAAAACCTGCACTGTGCCCAGTCCTGCCCTTACAATTGGCATAAGTTGACAAAATGATCCATGCAGACGGGTATGGAGTCCTCTGAAGACCTGGAGGGACTAAGGAGTAACAGACTGTGTGAGCCTGTGACAACGCTGGAGGTGCCATGGTGGCACAGAAGGTGGACACTGTCCGGGAGCTGCGGGACGAGACCTCAGCTGGAGGAGGAGACGCCCGAGAGGACCAGCCAATGACCCCTGAGGCAGAGGAATCATCAGGAAAAGAGGACCATGATTCCGAGCTCACCAGTGCTGATGCAGGGAGAGGCCAATGGACTTCGACTGATGGACATGGACTGATGAACTTGGACTGACAATCCCACCAGAAGGCGGAGGACCTTGCAGGTTGCTATGTTTTGGGACCCTGGGGGTGGAACAGTTTTGTTTGTAAACCCCAAGAGATGGGAATCTGGGGGTGGCCAGTAGGCCTTGGTGGCCAAAAGCAGCCTGTGTATGCCCAGCAGCCAGGCAGAGGAGAAAAGCCAACTGAGAAGGCAAAAGTTGGTGCTGATGCTAAGTTTGGGAAGCCCTGAGTGGCTGTTAAGCAGCCTGAGTATGCTGAAGCCCTGTGAGTCTCGTAAAATCACCTGTGGGTGATGCCCTGCTCATTCTCGAGTGAGGGTGAGGAGTTGAGGAACCTGTCCTTGAGGGACGGGTGGGGAACGTGGTTTGGGGTGGAGCCCAAGCTGAAGAGGGGACCCGAAAGAGGCCTCATGTAGAGTTTGGATCCCCGACCCATGTGCTTGTGCAGTGGGTTGGCCTGAGTGCAGGGGTCTGCGTGTTGCATTGGTGGCTATAAAGGCCGAATGTTGGAGCGACTGCAGACCGAAGAAACCCTAAGGTTTCTAGAAAACCTGCACTGTGCCCAGTCCTGCCCTTACACTGATCCTACTAGGTGACAGGGAATTTTGGAGGTCTTGAACCTAGGAATGACCTGTTTGTGGCAGTACTGGGGACAGGAAGAGAGTAAAGGCACAGAGACCATTTTGTAGCAAAGGCCTGAATTAGGGCAAGTGGTGGGGAATGGAAAAGAGACAGTTCTCAGGGAGACTCAGTGGGTCCTGGAGGCCGTACTGGATTCAGTGAATGAGGAAGAAGAGCGTATTCAAAGCGATGTTAAGATTTTCTTTGTGCCCTTTGCCCCCAACATACCATGCCAATAATTCAAGATTTAAAAGATGCAAATGAACTGTTACGCCTTATCTGTCAATGTCATTAATTTAGCATCATATTTTTATGGTCGGTACCCATAATGGTGTAGGCGTTGGGATCACAGTATTATTCTGCTCCTATCAACCTTTTTTTTCCCCCCTACTGATTTCCCTACTGGTTCTTCCCTTATGCAGGGAAGCGCCAGCTGATTGCAGATTCTACACTATTTGAAACCTGATTTGGTCTATTCAGTCCATTGCCCAGAGACATATGACCTATGAAAGCCGTCCCTGCTTCCAAAACTTGGTCCCTGTGTCCATGATAGAGTAACCCATTGTCTCAGGAAAAGAGAACATATTTGACTTTTGGGGAGTCAAAGAAAGACTTTTAAGTGGTGAAATTCTGAGAAACAAGACCCTGCTGACTGTGCTCCTACCCATGTTCAGCAGGGCCAGTTCCAGGATGCCTGGACCACCACTTCTAGTGCCTGGATACCCTCAAGAGCTAGTAGCTGCTCCTAGAAAGGAAGCACAGAAGAACACAGGGCATTGCCTGAGGAGTCTTAGCCCCTTGTTCCAGAATACATCAGTGCTCATTGAGTTTTGCGCCCCTGTCTCTCTGTGATGGCACTTGTGCCTGGTGAACCACATAAGTGGCTTGGAGCAGTGCCACAGGTGGTGTGAGAGAGGACAGTGACCTGTGGCTGGCTAGCAAGGTGTCTGCATCCAGAAATTCTAACACATCATCCAGCTGGAGCACCAATCTGAGTACATAGGCAATGACAAAAGTTTGCTAACCGGTGGGTCAAGCTTCTTCAGAAATAGCTGTAGATTCCATTTCAAAAAATTGATCATCTCTAACTTTTTTTTAAATTTATTTATTTATTTACACAAGCACTGGGTACAGTCAGAAGTGCGGGAGGGTGAGAGAATTCACCAGAGCCAGAGCAGGGAGCAGAGCAGGCAGAAGGACCGAAGTAACACTGCTGAGGGGAGCAGCGGGCGGCAGGAGAGGTCCGCGCGCCATGCGGGACCCTCCTCCAGTGGCTGGGGAGCAGCCCTGGATCGAACCGGCACAGCAGAGGCTTTGCAACTCAGCGCTCAACCACTGCGCCACTGGGGAGGCCCGGTCATCTCTAACTTTAGTGACTTCACATCTTGACTTAAGAAGAACTGTGCATAAGATGCCAAAAACCAATTCCTAACACAATCACATCCTGAAGGATGTGATTTATCCTGTTATTTAAAAAATCTAGTCCATCTCATCATCCATTATCATATTTTTGCCATCATATATATTTAAGCTCTTTCCTTTAGTGGATTTTAAATGCCTTTATTTTATTTCCTTAATAAATATGCATTTCATGGTGACAGCCAGATGAGCCTTAGGCAGATAAAATAGTTTATCCTTTGAATAAATGTGTTATTGGTGCATTTTCTTACATGTTGTCATAAAGGCCAGGCCGGTCTCTCACCACACATTAACTTTATGACTTTATTTGTAGTTCATGTGAACACCAAACTTCAATTCACTTTCTATCTACTCATGGACTGCATCATTTTATTCCCTTTTGCAGGAAAGGAATGTTATATTGTATTAGGCAAGAATTTGCTGCAGGTTTAAATTTAGTTTGCTGGAAGATCTCTTCCAGAAAGCAAGGTTTGTTAAAAAAAAAAAAAAAAAAGACCAATTCAACTTTATAGCAGAACAGAGTATTAGTATTTTCAAGAGTTTCCAGTAGAAGTCTTGCATGATATGTCATGACTTTGTTTATTAACTATATTTAGAATAACTGTGACACCAAGTGCCCCCTAATTCTCACTCCATCACATCTCGACATCTCATCTATTTCTCACCCTCATTCTGCTCCTTCCGAGTAATGATGTGATGAGTGTGGCAGAAGTGATTCATGAATGGCACCACCATCCCAAGAGACCAAGGGCTGGAGTAGATCACAGGCCTGAGCACAATCCTTTAATATATGCCATTGTCTCCAGAAGCATCTCTGAGAGGGGATGTATGAAAAAAAAACCAAATTATATTTGTTTCTCCTAATATAATTTTACCAAAATCTCCTCTTTTGTTTATTCTTCAACTTCCATGCCTATAATGTATAGGCTGCAATAATATGTATGAATGAATACATTTATTATTAAAAATATGCTAAATTGATGACATTGACAGATAAAGCATTACATTGCATTTGAAACTTTTAAATCTTGGGTTAAATTATTGGCATGGTATGTTGGGGACAAAGGGCACAACTAAAATCTTAACGTCTGCAAAACCACCGTACAGGACAGAGTTGATTCTCACAGTGTCAGCTGAAGCCCCTCCAGTGAAGGCAGACCTCTGACCCTGCTCACTCTCTTTGGGGTGTTGCCCTTATGGGATTCCTAAAGAAAGGAGAGAGTGTGCCAAACCCTGATCCTCCAGCGGCCCCCTCTCCCCACTGCTTGCACTGTCCCTCCAAACAATCAAACCTCCAATTTCCACTGAGTTTCTGAGTGTAAGAGCAAAATAAGCTTGTGGAAGGAACAGGGTAAGCCACTTCCGGTCTGGGATTTGGAAGCAGCTTGGCTCAGGAGGTGAAATGTGACGGGCAGGCTACAGGAAAAGGAGGGAAGAGGGGAAATGGATCCCATTGCCGGCAGATCTGAGAGGCAGCACCTAGCAGGCAGAGCTGCCATCCCGCAAGTTAAAGATGAGGCTGAAAGAGCAGATAAAACAAGTCCCCTGTTGGCATCCAAAGTCCAGGCAACTGTGTGTGCTTTAGGCAAAGAATCTTCTCATGAAGGAAAGATCTCATTATGGCTCACAGTCTTCAGACAGGATCTGACAGCGGACGTAGTTCTGAGAATAGCAGGCTGCCTGGACCGATCCAGGAAACAGGGCACTGTTCCCAGAAAAAGTTTGGCATCCAAGATGCAACAGGCTGGAGTCCCCCTTGGGGTTCAAACTCCTTGGTTTATTTACACCTTGGTTTATTTACTATGGAGGCCACAGGATCCTTCATCAGACACCACACTCTGGACCCAGACAGAGAGCTGTAACTTTCTTTTCAGAAGTCCAGGGCTTATCTCTTCTGGATATAAATAGGATGCTCTGGCCCCTCAGGCTTTACTCAAGTGGATCTAGAGTTGAAAAATGTGTCCTTGCTCCTATAATTGCTCCCAAAGATTAGTCATTAATAGACCATCCTCTTCTTGTTTAAGAGTTTTGTATTAGGGCCTCCCCGGCGGCGCAGCGGTTGAGCGCTGAGCTGTGAAGCTGCCTGCAGCCTCTGCAGCACTGGTTCCATCCCCGGCCGCCAGGCCAGGGTCCCACATGGCGCGCAGACCTCTCCTGCCGCCAGCTGCTCCCCTCAGCAGTGTACTTCGTCAGTCTGCCTGCTCTGCTCTCGGCTCTGGCTCTGGTGGATTCTCTCACCATCCCGTGCTTCTGACTGTTCTGACTGTGCCCAGTGCTTGTATAAATAAATAAAAATTTTTAAAAAATAAATTTAAAAAGTAGCTTACAAAAAAAGAGTTGTGTATTGAATGCCAAAAAAAAAAAAAAAAACCTAAGCCGCACATAATCCCAAGGAAACTTTCATTTAAGGGTACCGATGACACTGCACCCATACTAGTAAGCACTTGGCTGTTCAGGGATTTCGTATGGGCGGTATATATCCCATCCCTTCCGGGAGAAATGGTGTAAAGTATTAACTACACCCTAGTCTTTGAAGCTTAAAATAAGTTATACTAACACTCTGACATCCTCGGTCTCATTTGAGCTTTATAACTACTAGTGAAAGAGGTCAAAAAATTATTCTCATTTTTTAGATAAAAACAAAGTCTTGAACAATGAAATGACTATCCTGAGACTTCACAGCTAGAAAGTAGAGGTTAGATTGTCATTCCTGCCCCTACAATATTAAATAAAAAAATAATGCGAGCTGACACTTTAGGACACGAATCTGGAAAAGTAAAGAGAGCAACTGGCCTGTGACTCTATATCAATTATAATCCCCGTGTACGGTCCATGGGAAAACATAGGGTCAGTGTCTCAGACCCTTCCCCCACACATGACCTTCTTTCACAGGTGGCCTAGTAGAGAACATGTAGCCTTATGATGGAGTGTTCATGTGCGAGAGAAGTAAATAATATGTAACCTTGATAATAGTTGGCATGCTACTTCTGTAAATTTGGCCCTGTGCCAGCTTAGTCTATAATTCATTGTAGGGTAAATAAAAGGTATCAGCCTTTTCTGCCCTCCCGCCATTAGCAGTGATGATGGATCTGCATGCATGCCTGATGGCGGGCACTTGCAGTAGGGACGCCAGCAGAGAACAGCAGAAGAAACTAGAAGAGAGAGAAGCAGAGGGCACGAGAGAATGCCCAAGTGCCCAGAAAGACTGAGGACTCGCCGGGGGCTGGGAGGCCTGCCCGGCACCCCTGCCTACCGTGTACCTGGTAAATCCCAATAAAAGCCTGAAAAATCCACTTAGGTCTCCAGGACGAGTCCTTTACCCTGCCTGATCAGGTCATAGAAATCCTGCTCTGTTCCATCCTGCCGCTATATGGCTCCTAGGGTATGGGAGGACCCCCTCATGGTCTCTTACCCGGCTGGGACCACTGCTGTCTGGTGCCCCAGGGCTGCTGGGCGCTGCCACTGTTGCTACCTGTGTATCCCCCGCGGCCTCATAATCAAGGCTTATTCCTGCTCCCCACACATGGGCTTTGTGACCTGTTTGCTCATTTGCCACCATAACTCACCGGGCAAGCTTGTAACTGAGGCAGACCGGGTAAAGGAGGAGTCCTGGAGCCCTCAGTGGCTTTTGCAGGTCTTTTATTGGGATTTACCATGTACACAGCAGGCAGGGGTGCCGGGGTGCCGGGAGGCTGGCAGGCCTCCCAGCCCCCAGCAAGTCTTCACTCTGGGCTCTCCAGCCTTCTCTCATGTTCTCTCTGCTTCTGCTTTGTTCTTGGCTTCTCTTCTCTCGGCTTCTCTGCTTCTGCTGGCGTCCCCGTGACGCCATTCTTAAAAGCCCAGTCTCAGCCCAGGTGAATCCCATCTACCTAGGCCCACACCCTACTCCAGGTGCCCGCCATCAGGCATGCATTCAGGACCCCAGTGTTCTGTCATCTATCCTAATGACGGGAGGGTAGAAAAGACTGATACTTTTTACCTTACCCTACAAATATATTTTATTTTATATAATTTATTTTATATAATTTTTTATAATTTTATATAATTTTATATAATTTTTATATATTTTTTTATAATTTTATATAATTTTTAATATAATTTATTATATAATTTATTTATATTATTTATTTTATATAATTCTTATGTCGTTTTTCTTTTTTTTTTTTTTTTTTTTTTTTTTTTTTTAGATTTTTTTTTTAATAGAGGCATGTTTTTATTTATTTATTTGTTTGTTTGTTTGTTTTGTTTATACATGCACTGGGTACAGTCAGAAGCGCGGGAGGGTGAAAGAATTCACCAGAGCCAGAGTAGGCAGAAGGACCGAAGTACACTGCTGAGGGGAGCAGCGGGCGGCAGGAGAGGTCTGCGCGCCATGTGGGACCCTCCTCCGGTGGCCGGGGAGCAGCCGGGGATCGAACTGGCGCCACAGAGGCAGCGGGCAGCTTCGCAACCAGCGCTCTACCGCTGTGCCACCTGGGAGGCCCCCGTTTTTCATTTTTTTAATATTAAATTTTATTTTTATATTCCCCCATACAATTGCAAACGCCCCATTCTGACCCCAATCCTTCCCCTCCCACCCCCCACCCCCCAAAAAGTGTCTCTGGTTCATAGTTTTTTGTTGATTTTGATTTTCACTTTCTTATATTCATTTTCCTGGTCCCTTATTTAAGTTTTCTAGATTCCTGCTATGAGTGAGACCATCCGGTATTTTTCTTTTTCTTTTTGGCTTATTTCGCTGAGCATGATCCCTTCCAGCGCCATCCATGTTGCTGCAAATTGCATGTGTTTATCTTTTTTGAATGCTGAGTAATATTCCATGGTATATATGTACCACATCTTCTTGATCCAGTCATCTATTTTTGGGCATTTGGGTTGTTTCCAAAGCTTAGCTATTGTAAACAGTGCTGCTATAAACATAGGGGTGCAGGTGCTCTTTGGAATTGATGTTTCTGTGTCCTTTGGGTAAATACCTAGGAGTGGAATTGCTGGCTCATATGGAAGCTCTATGTTTAGTAGGTCCAGAAATCTCCACACAGCTCTCCATAGTGGTTGGACCAGTTTGCACTCCCACCAACAGTGCAGAAGAGTTCCTTTTTCTCCACACCCTCGCCAACATTTGTTGTTGCTAGTTTTTTTAATATGTGCCATTCTCACTGGTGTGAGATGGTATCTCATGGTAGTTTTGATTTGCATTTCCCTGATTACAAGTGATGTTGAACATTTTTTCATATGCCTGTTGGCCATTTGCATTTCCTCTTCAGAGAAGTTTCTTTTTAGCTCTTCTGCCCATTTTTTGACTGGATTATTTTCTTTGTTGTTGCTGAGTCTCATCAGCTCTTTGCAGATTTTTGTGATCAGTCCTTTATCATTAGTGTTGGGTGCAAAAATGTTCTCCCAGTTGGTGGGGTTTCTCTTTGTTTTTGTTATTGTCTCTTTTGCTGTGCAGAAGCTCTTTAATTTGATGTAGTCCCAGCTGTTTATCTTTGTCTTCACTATCACTGCTTTGGGTGATGTGTCTGTAAAGATGTCTTTGATGTGCAAATCCCGTAGTGTTTTGCCTATATTTCCTTCTATGTATTTTATGGTTTCAGGTCTTAAGTCTAGTTCTTTAATCCATTTTGAGTTGATTTTTGTGTATGGTGTGAGGTAGTGGTCAAGCTTCATTCTTTTGCATGTAGCGACCCAGTTTTCCCAGCACCATTTATTGAACAAACTTTCTTTGCTCCAATGCATAGTCTTTGCTCCTTTGTCAAAGATTAGTTGACCATAAATCTGTGGGTTTATTTCTGGATTTTCTATTCGATTCCATTGGTCTGTATGTCTGTTCTTGTTCCAATACCATGCAGTTTTGATGATTATGGCTTTGTAGTATAGTTTGAAGTCTGGGAGTGTGATGCCTCCATTTCCTTCTTTTTTTTTCAGTAGAGCTTTGGCTATTCGGGGTTTTTGGTGATTCCATATGAATTTCATCAATAATTGTTCTATTTCTTTGAAGAATGCCATTGAGATTTTGATTGGAATAGCATTGAATCCGTATATTGCTTTTGGTAGGATGGCCATTTTAATAATGTTTATTCTTCCAATCCATGAGCAGGTGATGTCTTTCCATTTCTTTGTGTCTTCTTCTATTTCTTTTAACAGTGTTTTATAGTTTTCTTTGTATAGGTCCTTTACCTCTTTTGTTAGATTTATTCCCAAATATTTGATTTTTTTTGTTTCGATAATAAAAGGGGTGGTTTTTTTGATTTCTTCTTCTTCAGATTTATTGTTTGTGTATAGGAAGGCTACTGACTTTTTTTTTTTTTTTTTAGAGGCATGTTTTTTTTTTTTATTTATTTATTTATTTATTTATTTACTTGTTTGTTTTGTTTATACATGCACTGGGTACAGTCAGAAGCGCGGGAGGGTGAGAGAATTCACCAGAGCCAGAGCGGGGAGCAGAGCAGGCAGAAGGACCAAAGTACACTGCTGAGGGGAGCAGCGGGCGGCAGGAGAGGTCTGCGCGCCATGTGGGACCCTCCTCCAGTGGCCGGGGAGCAGCCGGGGATCGAACCGGCACCGCAGAGGCTGCGGGCAGCTTCGCAACCCAGCGCTCAACCGCTGCGCCACCGGGGAGGCCCGGAAGGCTACTGACTTTTGCGTGTTGATTTTGTATCCTGCCACTTTACTGAACTGATTGATGAGTTGAATTAGTTTTTCTGTGGAGATTTTGGGGTTCTCTATGTATATTATCATATCATCTGCAAATAGTGATAGTTTGACTTCTTCTTTTCCTATTTGGATTCCTTGGATGTCTTTCTCTTGTCTTATTGCTCTGGCTAGGACTTCCAGTATTATATTGAAAAGCAGTGGTGAGAGTGGACATCCTTGTCTTGTTCCAGATCTTAATGGAATTGCTTTCAGCTTTTCACCATTGAGAATGATACTGGCTGTTGGCTTGTCATAGATGGCCTTTATGATGTTGAGGTATGTTCCTTGTATCCCAAGAATTTCAAGGGCTTTTATCATGAATGGGTGTTGCACTTTGTCGAAAGCTTTCTCAGCATCTATTGATATTATCATATGGTTTTCATATTTCTTTTTGTTGATGTGTTGGATAACGTTGATTGATTTTCGGATGTTAAACCATCCTTGTGCCCCTGGAATGAATCCAACTTGGTCGTGGTGAATTATCTTATGGATACATTGTTGGATTCTGATAGCTAAAATTTTATTGAGGATTTTTGCATCAGTGTTCATTAGGGAGATTGGCCTGTAGTTTTCCTTTTTTGTGTTGTCCTTGTTCGGTTTTGGTATTAGTGTAATGTTGGCTTCATAGAACGTGTTTGGTATTGTCCCTTCCTTCTCAATTTTTTGGAAGAGTTTGTGAAGGATAGGCACTAATTCGTCTCTGAATGTTTGGTAGAATTCATTTGTAAATCCATCAGGTCCTGGGCTTTTGTTTTTGGGGAGGTTTTTGATTACCATTTCAATTTCGCTGCTTGTAATTGGTCTGTTTAGGTGTTCTATTTCTTCTTTATCTAGCTTTGGGTGATTGTAGAGTTGTAGGAATTTGTCCATCTCCTCTAGATTGTTGAACTTGTTTCCATATAACTGTTCATAGTAGTTACTGATTATTCTTTTGATTTCTGCTGTGTCCGTTGTGATTTCTCCTCTTTCATTTATGATCCTGTGTATTTGTGCTTTCTCCCTTTTATCCTTTGTGAGCCTGGCTAGGGGTTTGTCTATTTTATTTATTTTTTCAAAGAACCAGCTCTTGGTTTCATTGATCTTTTGGATTGTTTTTTTAGTTTCAATTTCATTTATTTCTGCTTTGGTTTTTATTATTTCTTTTCTTCTACTGGTTTTGGGGTTTTTTTGTTGTTCTTTTTCTAGATCTCTGAGCTTCGAGATTAGGTTGTTTCTTTGAGTTCTTTCTTGTTTTTTGATGTGAGCTTCTATTGCTATATATTTTCCTCTTATTACTGCTTTTGCTGCATCCCATACATTTAGGATATTGGTGTCCTCCTTGTCATTCAATTCAAAGAATTTTTTAATTTCTTCTTTGATCTCCTCGTTAGTCCAGTGGTCTTCCAGTAGTGTGGCTTTTAATCTCCATGAGGTAGGATAGTTCCTTGCCTTCTTTTTATGATTTATTTCTAGTTTGATGCCTTCGTGGTCAGAAAAGATGGTTGGTATGATTTCAATCTTGGTGTATCTGTTGATGTTTGTCTTGTGCCCCAGTATGTGATCGATCCTGGAGAATGATCCATGTGCGCTTGAGAAAAATGTGTACTCCGTTTTTTTGGGGTTTAGTGTTCTATAGATGTCTGTTAAGCCCAAATGCTCTAGGTCCTTATTTAGAGCTTTAGTTTCTTTACTTATTTTTTGTCTTGTTGATCTATCCATTGTTGATAGTGGTGTGTTGAAGTCTCCCACTACGTATGTGTTTTCTCTGATGTCTGTTTTCA